ATTCTAATTTGAGATGTTTTGGTTGTCTATGCTTTGCCTCCATTCCTTCAAGACATATATCCAAATTTGGCTCAAGGGTTGTTCCTTGTGTGTTTCTAGGCTATCCACATGGTAAAAAGGATTATAAGGTGGTTGATCTAAAGACATTAAAGGTTTTTGTTTCTAGAGATGTAATATTTGATGAGGAATTCTTTCCATTTGCCTCTATCAAATCTGATTCTATAGGGGCTTCTTATCTGCCAGCAGCTACATTGCACAATTCATTTCCCTTAAACTCAGACTCCTTCTCACATTTGGTTTCATCAGACAACCAACATTATACTTCTACTCCTTCCTCCACCCCTACTGTTTCTTCTTCTCCTACCCCTATTTTTTCTTCTCCTACTTCTTACCCTGGTACAAGACTATTTTCTAATAGCCCATTACCAGTTGGATCATTATAAGGCTACTCCTCTTCTAGTATATTTTTTCCTTTACTGTCTTCATCTGTTTCTCAACTTATGCTAGATACTCTCATTAGAAAATCTACCAGACCTCACAATCCTCCTACATACCTCAAGGATTACATTTGTAATGCTCTTCAACTCTCAGATGTGACTACTATATGTTTTCTTGCACCAATCTCTCCTTTATCCTTATCTTTTAGTAGTCTCTCCACCACTAATCAACATATGCTCAATTCTCTATCTAATATGTATGAACCTATTAGTTATTCATAGGCTGCACATCACCCAGGGTGGCAGGAAGCCATAGAACAGGAAATTGTTGCTCTTGAGCTCAACAAAACTTGGGAGGTCATAGAATTACCCCCAGGTAGAAAGGATTTACCTTCAGATGAGTCTACAAGGTAAAGCAACATTCAGATGGTAGTATAGAAAGGTTAAAGTCTAAGTTGGTGGTAAGAGGTGATATACAGAGAGAGGGGATATATTTTAATGAGACTTTTTCCCTGGTGGTCAAGATGACCATCATCAAATGTATTTTAGTTGTTGCAGTTAAGGAAATTTGGGGCCTTTATCAATTGAATGTGAACAATGCGTTCTTACATGGTGATTTAAACAAGGAAGTTTATATGAAATTCCCAGTTGGTTTTATACCACCTTCTCCTATCCATGTTTGTAAGTTGAAGAAGTCCATGTATGGACTTCATCAAGCTTCTAGGCAATAGTACTCTAAGCTTACTACTGCTCTTAATTTTAAGGGATACACACATTCCTTGAACGATTCTTCTTTATTTTTTAAATGGACAGATTCCTCTATCTCTATTGTGGTAGTGTATGCCAATGATATACTACCATAAAGGAATGATACAAAGGAATTGACTGAATTGAAAGATTTTTTACATCAGAAGTTTAGAATCAAGGACCTTGGAAGCTTACATTATTTTTTGGGAATGGAAGTTCTACGAGAGCCTCATGGTTTGATTCTATCTCAGCGGAAGTTCACCCTTGATTTAATGCAGTAGTTTGATTCTCTCCACAAGACGCATGTTTCCTGTCCTCTTGACCCTTCTATTTGTCTACTTGCTCAGATTGGTGACTCTAACCCTGACCCGACCTTGTATCGCCATTTGTTGGGCAAGCTGAATTTACTTGACACATACAAGACCGGATTTATTCTTCACTGTACAACACCGTAGCTAGTACATGCAGGATCCTAGACCGCCCCATCTCAATGCTGCACTTCGTGTCCTCCGCTATTTATTGAAGGATCCTGGACTTGGATTTTTCATGTCTTCCTCTCCTTCATATCAGCTCCTTGCATTTTGTGATTCCGACTGGGCCACTTGTCCTAATTCGCGCAAATCCGTCAGTGGATTTTACATTTCTCTTGGTTCAAAATTTTATGGAAATTCAACAAGCAGACATCTATTTCTCTCAGCTCTGCAGAGGCTGAATACCGTTCAATGCGATGCGTTGTGGCTGAGCTCACTTGGTTGGTTCATTTATTTGATGATTTTTCAATCCCAATTTCACTTCATGATCTTCTTCATTCGGACAGTCAGGCAGCTATTCATATCGCGAAAAACCTTATTTTTCCCGAAAGAACTAAACATGTTGAACTAGATTGTCACTTCATCAGACAACAGTTCCCCGCCGGCCTAATTTCACTCTCCTATGTTCGCTCCTCTTCTCAGCTGGCATATCTGTTCACGAAGTCTCTCACAGGGTCGATTCATCACCATCTTTTGAACAAGTTGGGTGTCCTTTCATCCCCCTCCAACTTGAGGGGGGGTGTTGGTGTTAGAAATGAAGATGAAGCTCTTCTCGAATTCTCCGATGAAAGTATGAAGAGATATAAGAGAGACAATGTCGGCTAGGTTTGCTTATGTTTTAATTTATGTCTGAGAAAGGTGTATATCTTAAGGAATAAGAGAGACAAGAATGGGCCAGACATTTGGACTCAATTCTAAACGGGGTTTCTTTTATTTTGGACTTAGTTTTACAACAAATGGGCCTCAAAGCTTCACTAATTCCATCGGCCCATTCTAAGAAGAACCCAGAAGATACAAAGAGATAATCTGCATAGTAGATAGAATTATTCCTTTGTAAATATTCCTTAGTTTGTTACAATAACTGTTAGGAGTAGGCTAGTAAAATACTGCCACTTGGCAAAGTTTGTTTAGACTAGATTTTGTTCTTTTGTATATATATGTTACACTGTGCAGAGAAATATACACATAGAAATTTCCAGAATTATTCTCATTTCATTCTCTTCAGAGAAACCGATATAATTGGGACAATTTCGAATAGTCTAATTTTAGTTATACATAATAGAATAACCGAAAAATTAATGTGACATAAATTTACAAAATAACTGGAAGAACCGAACCATTGACACCCCTATAGCTATGACAAAGAAGAAAGCTCGGAAGTAAATAACAAAAGTACAACTGCCGAATTTTATGATTGGTTATGGACAGTCATGGAATTTTATCTTTTCGAACATTGATCTTATAATATTTCTCTGTGGTATATTGATTTATTAGTATATGCAATGGTTATGTTTTTTTGGTATCATATTCGTTTCATATAGCTACTTCACATTTTTATGATGCCACCAAGAAACCTGTGACTAGATCTTCGTCACTGGGATGGGATTCGCCTTTTACGTATTGTAAAACCGTAAAAATTAGGTTATTATTGATAACACTTTTTAACAAATATTAAATTATAACATCGAATAAATGATAAATACCTTGGTGTAATAGGCAAGACTATGGTAGAATACAAAATTTTAAACTTTATATATATATAATCCAATTAAAATTGTTGTAGTTGATTGATTGTTTTATTTCTGAAAAAAGAGAGCAAAGAGGGAATTATTGACTACCCATAATGGTTTAATATATACTCCACTTTCTTTCCTGTTTGGGGGGAAAAGTCGGAAAATGGTAAGCCCCGTTTGGTCATAGATTTTGCCAAATCTTTTTCAAAAAAAAAAAAAAATTGGCAAAACATGTTTTTTTATAAATTTTATTCATGTTTTAGCAGATTTTGAAAACAAAATTCTCAGTCCCAAAACTAATTCTAGACATGTTTTTGGCCCAAAATGTCACTGTTGGATTTTTTAACAACGTCAAAAATTATCCCAAACTTTTGTATTTTATAAAAAAAAAAAAACACCAACTATTATGACCTAACTAACCACCTGCTAATTACTATCATTTTCTTTTGGACTGATGGATCTTATAATATTATTGTAATTTGACGAATTATAGTGGCTAGTAATTGTGTTATTAGCAGTTGATATTAAAATATCAGGTTATGGTTTTAGGATAGTGTATTATGTAGCTCATTATAAAAATGATGTCTTTGTGCCTAACTTATCTATGTCTGGGACTATGGTTTGCGATAATGATAATGAATGACATCAATGAAGGTTCTGCATATACAAGATTAGCTAGTTTGTTAGTTTGGTATTGTTGAGTATTTTTTATAGTTTTTAGAACTTATGAGTATAAGTCATATTTTATATCTTTTTCAAAAAAAAAATGAAATATGTTTTGAAAAATTATGTTTAAACAGATTTTCATCTTCAAACCAAACTTCACCCAAATCAAATTTATAAAAAAAAAATTAAAAATATATGACCAAGCGCCTAGCTAAGTTTAGGGGTTATATGTAGGGTGATATTTGTCACATTATTTGCTGCATCACATCAAGTAAGCACTGCCCACTAATAAAATTATTTCTTTTGAATATTTGTTGTAGTTTGTCTTTCACACTAGGAACTGATCCAAATTTTTGTTTTACTTTTATGTACTAAATTTGGTGCTTTCTTCTTACTCTTTTTTTCCTCTTGGATTTATTCTCCCTAGGTTTGTGATAATCAAGTTTTTCTTTTTTATTTCTCTTTTGCACCAACAATTAGAACACTCCTTTTTGAATTATGATGCTACGTTAATCATAAGGGAAAATTCAATCAAAACAAGGCGTGACGTAGAACTGAGTATCACTAGTATACTGCTCTTTTTTTTATACAAATATAAGAAGAAGAAAAAATACACACAGAGACACCCTTTGGAAATGAATGCATTTTTCAGTTTTTTCCATTTTCTTAAGTTTTCCTTTCTGGGTGTATTTTAGTCAATTTTTATTCTTTCCCTTAGATTTCTCTTTTGAGCTTGTTTGAGTTTAAATTTTATGCATTGACTAAGTACAAACTATTCACACAATCAGTTCAGCTACAAGATCATTGCAAGTAAATCTGTAATGTTCGTAGAAATTAAATAATGACGACATGCTATCATAAATTATCCAATACTGATTATGCAAAAATATATTTATACTATTAGTGTACGTATATATCCGTGGGAAAGAGGGGGAGGGAGCCATTAGATGGAGGGATAAATATGAAAGCAGGGTAATGAATTATAGTAAAAAAGCAAATTATAGAAAGTTAGGGGCCTTTCCACATCAATTGTCTTTATATCCACACACACACTATATATATTAGTATAAGCCAAAGAAGACAATGGCTCCTAAGTTATTGTAACAGCAGAAATATAGGAGAGAGTTCCCTGGTTTTTGTCTTCCTCTACTCATACCACATTCCTAGATTTAAGTTATTCTCCCAAAGAAACAAATCTCCTTCAACCCCTTTTGCACCAACAACTAAACAAAAAAGTGGGAAACAACAAAGCAAAAATAAACAAAAATCCTTTAACTATATTATAGTACGTGTAGTTTCTAGATGTCAAATATATCAGGAGAAGAAGGCAGTTTCTCTTCAGGGAACACTGGAGATGAAGAAGTTCAGAAACATAATCAAGTAGCTGCAGCCCATTTGAAGACTTCAAATAATATTTCCTCTATTACTAATGGGTCCAGTTCACAATCCCAGCAACAGCAGAATAAGCAGCAACCTCTTGCTAAGAAGAAGAGAAACCTTCCGGGAACTCCTGGTAAAACAGCGCTAGCTGTCCCAATTTAATTATTATGTGATGTATTTCGAATTTAATTTGGAGAGTCAAACGAGTTTTCTCCATAGATTACTACTATATTTAACAAATAATGTTTCGATTCTTGAAATTAAGCTAGCTAGTGAGCTTTAGTTAAATTATATATGTTAAGAATATTGAAACTGCATGTTGAATTGTATCCTTAATTTGGTTTCTTTGATCTAATGTGAACGTATAAGTAGAAACGTAGTAACATGTATTACTACAATGAAATTTTTCTGTGCCATGATGGGGGAACCTTTGACTCTAAGCTTGTTTTAAATGGACAAATCCTCAAGTTGCAAAAAGGGTCAATAATTGCTTGATTGGAACTGTGATGAAATGCACTTCTTCCATTTTTTCTTTTTTGGTGACCCACGCACCACTTAGAAAGTTAGATATATATCTAGAGTAGTACACTTCTAATCATTCAAGAAATTTGCTCCTCCTAGACTCTAGTACTTGTTGACTGTGAATATCTGAATTGTTGGTTTGTTGTTTAAGAATTCTAAAATTCACTACCATTTGGTCATGAATATCTAAACTGGTTAGGTGTTCAGAATTTTTAGAATCCAGTACTTCTTGGTCGTGAATATTTAAATCGGTTGTTTGATGTTCAAGGATATAAATATTCTATAATTAATCACCACGTGTCTAATTGTGGATTCTCTTATTGTAGATCCAAATGCAGAAGTCATCGGCCTATCACCAACAACTCTCATGGCGACGAACAGATTCGTGTGTGAGATTTGCAACAAGGGATTTCAGAGGGACCAAAACTTGCAGTTGCATAGGAGGGGACATAATCTCCCTTGGAAGCTTAGGCAAAGAACTACAACTGAAGTGAGGAAGCGCGTTTACATATGTCCAGAGCCAACTTGCGTTCACCACGATCCGGCTCGTGCTTTGGGTGATCTTACTGGAATTAAAAAACATTATAGCCGTAAACATGGAGAAAAGAAATGGAAATGTGATAAATGTTCCAAAAAATATGCCGTGCAATCTGACTGGAAGGCTCATCAGAAGACTTGTGGGACAAGAGAATACAAATGTGACTGCGGTACCATTTTCTCCAGGTTAGTTTGTGTTCTCATAATATTTTCAGTCCTTTCTTCTAGAGAAGAAAATAAATTCACATACATACTTATGAAATAAAACGGACTGCATATCCAAGACTGAATCAAAGGGATGAGATCCGATTCAATTCTGTGATTAAATCAAATTCTTCCCTTTGTCAGTTTACCTGTTGCGGAAGCCAAATGTATAGAGTGTGAATAAGTCACAACTACTATACCAAAAATTA